AAAAATTCCATTTTTCTTAAACAAAAGGAAAAAAAAAAAAAAAGTGACCTAAATTAAACACAAGCCCTCTAACCTGGACATGTTTCTGATTTCACCTAATTAACTCCAACCAGTCTCGGAAGCCATGGTTTCTTACCAAATAAAAAGAATAACTCCTAAACTCCAGCAGTCTACAGCACGGTTATACCCAGCAGTCCCAAGGGAATTAAGAACCTCAGGGGCCAAGTAAGTCGGGGTACCGCATAAGGTTTTCATGAGAGAGGTCTCCCCCAATATCTTGGACTGCCCAAAGTCAGTAATCTAAAACCAAAGACAAAAAGGGATCGGTTTTAATGACAGCATAAAATAAAAAGATTGCTCTAGCCTGCCAGCCCCCAAAGACCGGCACGTTAGATCAGTTTCTACCCTCCAGTTCATGTCTGCTGCTAATCTGGAACCTACAAATTCGTGTCTAATTCAAGGCAATTCTGAGCTTTTCAAGTTATTTAATTTTGCTTATATTAAGATTCCTGAGCCAAGAACTCTCCAAGGCCCAGGCTTTATGCCAACTTATCTGTGTTCTCTGTAACCTTACAGAAGGTTTGTAACTCCTATCACACACACTCCAGAATTCTGATTAGTTATGCATGGTTCCTCTTAGAACCCAGTTTCTCAACCTTGGCTGCGCACTCGAATATCTGAGGAACTTGGGGGAAAAAATGTATCCCTGGGTGCCACCTCCAGAGACCCACGGGGGCAGCCTGGACATCATGATGGTACTTATTCATTCATTCATTCATTCCTTTATTCATTCATTCTAATCAATAAGAGATTCCAAAGTAAAGCCAGGTTTGGGCAGCACTGCCTCAGATAGAGGGAAGGAGAAGATGGGATGTATGTAATTGACCCTCCAATTAGATAACTCCCCACCCCCCCATCGCCCCCGAACATAAAGGTGGCTTGTACATAGTGGAGCTCAACAAATGCTCATTAGAATCTGGATTAAAACAATAAATGCCACCTGCTCTGTAAAAATAATTGCTAAAAGTGGAAAGATCAAATTCTCAACCTTTTTATGCTCAGACTTTGTACCCGATGAATCTACCAGTTTCTGAACAGAAATCTATTGGAATGGCCACATATAGAACATATATTTCTTACCTTTATAAGACAGTCCTCCTTTTGAGACGAGAGCAGAACATTCTCTGGCTTTAGATCCCGATGTATAATGCCGTTTTCATGAAGGTACTACACAGAAAGGGAGGCATGGTCCTTAATTTAAGGAGTATGCATGTGAGTAGAGACAACACACACAACACATACGTCTCACATAGGGGTGAAACTGTAAGCCACGTTCCTCACACATATATTTCCCCAAATCGCAGAAAAACTCCTGGGTAGAAGGGGTGAGTGTTTACAAATTTGTTTCCAGGAAAGTCTTTAAAAAGTTCAGAAATGAAAAAAGGCAACTTATGACAGCAGGTGGGCATTTTACTTCTCTTTTCAAGATAATAAATAACGCTTCAGGTTGGCAGAGACATAAGGTGTCAATTTCAAAAAGAAAAATATAAGTGGGTGATATAAAATATTCTCAAGACCATATTATAAAATAAACTATAAAAGTTCCCCCAAGATGATACATTTGGGTTATCCCAACCCTGAGAATAATATTCTTAAAGGGAATCTGTAAAGTGCAAATTGTAAGTTTGTTTAAATACCCACAGGTAACAAATCCGCCGAAGTGAGCAATTACTTCGTCTTCGAAAACTCTATGCTCTGAAATACAGATGCTCCTTGCCTTACGATGGGAGTACCTCCTGATAAACCCGTAAGTTGAAAATATCTGAAGTCAAAATGCATTTAATGAACATAACCTACTGGACATGGAGCCTAGCCTAGCTACCTTACATGTGCTCCGTTGGGCAAAATCATCTCAACTCCGCATTTCCTGCACAGAGTAGGTCTGCAAGGGGAGAAACCTTGGCTGAGAAGCGCCACGCCCAAATGTGGTTTGAGAAAGGGTGTTCTTCAAAGCAGGCAGAATGCCACCAGCTGTTCCTCCACGCAGCTCTTCCATGGAATGAAGAGAAGGCAGCCCACCCGCCTGGCCGCTGCAGGTAGCAGATGCTGCGTGTGAAGGGAACACCAAGTACCAGCCACGGGGAGCGCTCACAATGTCACCATCACCCCAACTTGCCAGCCTTGTCCTCATACCGGTCCTCTCCCAGCAAGAGGTACGAGGGCGGGGGGGGCGGCGGTGCGGGGGATGGCCGGGCTGTGGTGACTCAGTGGATTGAGCATCGCCCCATGGATCAGGAGGACCCGGGTACAATCCCAGTTAGGGGCACATGCCCTGGGTTGTGGGCTCAATTCCCCAGTAGGGGACTGGGGGGTGGGGAGTCCTGCAGGAGGCAACCAATCAATGAGTCCCTCTCATCATTGATGTTTCTTTCTTTCTCTCTCTCTCTCTCTCTCTCTCTCTCTCTCTCTCTCTCTCTCTCCCCCTCTCCCCACCCCCTTCTCTCTGAAATCAATAAATACGTGTTTTGTTTTGTTTTTAAAAGGAGAGATAAGCCCTAACCGGTTTGGCTCAGTGGATACAACGTCAGCCTGCGGACTCAAGGGTCCCAGGTTCGATTCCGGTCAAGGGCATGTACCTTGGTTGCGGGCACATCCCTAGTGGGGGGGGTGCAGGAGGCAGCTGCTCTGTAAAAAATCAATAAAATATATTTTTTTTAAAAAGAGAGAGGTAAGGGGAGATTCTACAAGGATCAGGCAGAAGTAGCGATCAAGGCCCCTCCAAGCTCAAGAGAAGACACGGGAACCACGTGTTTATTTCTTTAACTCCCTTTCTTACTCTCTCTCAAGCTTCACAGCCAGAGCTCTCTCATCTGAGTCAAAGGGGGAGGTGTTTTTGCCAAGAAAGAACAAACAACACACACACACACTCTGTTCTCCAGGTTTGCCCCTCGCGCCCTCGCTTTCTGACAGACTCAGGGAGTAGTTCGCCGACCAGAGAGTAGGCTGCCCTAAGCACGGGGGCTCCTTACCTGTACGGCCAGGAGCATCTGGTAAAAATACAGTTTGCAGGTCGCTTCTTTCAGGCGCCTGTTCCCTGCCACCCGGTCAAACAGCTCGCCCCCTTCCATCCTGAAACACACGGGCACAGCGGGGCGTTCATGCCGGAGGGAAAGCCACGCGGGTGGACAACAATCACACAAACAAAACAAACCCACGAAGACCAGCCTAGAGTTGCCGTTTTTATTCACCCTCGACTCCCGCTGTCAAGGCAAGGAGGTCAGAAGCTTCATCCACAAGGAGGATGTCCCCAGTGGACACTAAGAAACAAGGGAAGATGGGGAGAGGGTGCAGTGGGCAATGCCGACACTTGGAGAGCTTTAAAAACTCTGACTCATGCCCTTAACCGGTTTGGCTCAGTGGATTAGAGCGTCAACCTGCGGACTGAAAGGTCCCAGGTTCGATTCTGGTCAAGGGCATGTGCCTTGGTTGCGGGCACATCCCCAGTAGGAGGTGTGCAGGAGGCAGCTGGTTGATGTTTCTAACTCTCTATCCCTCTCCCTTTCTCTCTGTAAAAAAAAAAAAAAATCAATAAAATATATTTAAAGAAATAAAATAAAAGCCCACTATTTAAAAAAAAAAAAAAAATCTGACTCGGTGGATCCGAGGCAGGGCCCAGGAGTTGGCGTTTTAATCACACTCCCAGTTAGATTCTGAGACTGGCATAGAGCAGCAAGCAGGAGTAGGAAGCCAGATCATCAGGGGACTAAAGCCCAACTCCACAATTTCCCAGCTGAGGCGCTTTGGGCAAATTCTGCAACCTCTTTGATCTTGTTTCTGCCTCCTAAAAACAGAGAGAAGAGCCCAGCTGGTGTGGTTCAGTGGTTGAGTGATGACCTATGAACCAGGAGGTCACGGTTCGATTCCCGGTCAGGGCACATGCCCGGGTTGTGGGCTCCATCCCCAGTCAGGGGTGTGCAGGAGGCGGCCGGTCAATGATCCCCCCTCATCGAATGTGGTGTCATTATCACCCCATTTAACACCAGGAAAATGACCCCGAGAGGTCTAACAGTGGGCAGTCAGCTCCTCACCTGCAGAGTGGGATTCGAACACAGGCCTCAGACCCAGGGCCCTCTAAGCCGCCTGCCTTTGGACACACTGGAGGAGTTTCCCATACGGGATGAAACCCCTCAAGCACTCTGTGGGCCCCACCACCACCACACCCATCTGTCCAGGGTCCCCAGGACGAGAAATGCAAGCCAGCGTTCGTCTTTAAACAAGCATTGAAACGGAAACAGATTAAGCAGCTCACTACTTACAATTCCAAAACAATATAAAAATCTTCGGCATCAAAAAAGTCTTTAATCTTGATGATACAAGGCTAAAGGGGGAGAAGAGGGAAAGGAGTGAGAAGCTCCCAAGAGGAAAAAAAACACACAAGAGCGGGACTCCCAGCAACTGCCCAGAGAGCCGGGGAGGCCAAGACCAGGCATCTGGCCCCGTCCTGGGACACTTTTGTGAAGTTCACGCAGGGGAGAGGGCAGAGCAGAATTAATCTGGCTCCTCAGTGTGGACGCACAAGGAACTCGCCACCCACCAGTTAGCAAGGGACTGGTTCCCGCGTCACAGGTAAGGCTGGCACCCAGGAAAGCAGGCCGCTCTCCTCCCAGCCCCCTCCTCAGTGCCCCACAGCACAGACAGGCGAGGACATCTCATAACCCGGAGGAGCCTGACAAGGCGCCTGAATGGAAAGCAGGTCAGCTGGGTGCCCGCCCTGTTGCCAGGTGGCAGGCCGCTCAGCTCTGCACAAACGGAACCACAGGGGGGACGTTACAGGAGCCTCCCATTTTCAAGGAGATATGAAAGTTAAGAGCTTTGCCCTAGCCGATTTGGCTCAGTGGACAAAGTGTTGGCCTGCAGAACAAAGGGTCCCGGGTTCGATTCCGGTCAAGGGCATGTACCTCGGTTGCGGGCTCCTTCCCGGCCCAGGCCCTGGTCAGGGCATGTGCAGGAGGCAACCAATCGATGTGTTTCTCTCACTTCCATGTTTCTCTCTGTCTTTCCCTCTCTCTTCCACTCTCCCTAAACATCAATGGAAAAATATCCTTGGTGAGGATTAAAAAATAAATAAATGAAATTTAAGAGATTTACTATGTCTTCTGTTCAAGAACTAAGTCAGTGTAAAGATCACATAATTACTTAATCATGAAATCTTTGCACAGTATTGTCCTTTCAAAAGTTCAGGGTAAAGCTCTTTCCAGCTACATGACAATTAAACACACATATGCATGCATATGTACACACATGTACACACACAATTAAGGAACTCACATTTCATGCTAGCTTTATTTTACTGAAATGCTTTGCACTCCTCCCATATTTTGAGATAAATGATTTTAAGAATGCGCCATATTTCACAGAAGTACTTACATGATTTAATTTTTTCAAAATTTCAATTTCTGTTTCAACATTGAGAGCTGGATCCTTTGATAAAAAAATAACATTAGAGTTTATTATTAATAATAATAATAGCCAATATTTAGAAAATGTTTACAGTTAAACTTAGTTGAGTAACAGCTGCCTGAGTTCCAAACCCATCTGTACTCATATAGAGAAATCAAGGCCTAGAGATTAATCATTGAAACAACTCACTTAAAATCACTCTATAAAGTGCATGGCAAACAGGAAGCATTCAAAAAATGACCAGGCTTTATCCCAAGCTCTTTACTTAAAAGGATAAGGCCACATAAGCCACATAATCCCCAAGTGAACTGGTTTCTATAATTATCCCCATTTTACAGATGGAGCAACTGAGGCTCAGAGAAAGGAAGCCAACTGCTCCAGTTCCCACAGCCAAAAACAAGTATTTCCACTGTTCTCATGCTTACCTGGTAAATTCTGCTTGTCTCATTAGCTGTGGAATTGTCTGCAGTCATAAAAATTATAAAACAAAACCACTGACAAAAAGGCTATTTTATTGAACTATGCGAAGAAACTGTCAAGTCAAATATCTCATAATAGAACAGACGTAGGTTTCCATTTCAACTGCAGGCTGACATATTTATTGAGACTTTTAACTAGAGGAAGGTTCAGGACACTGAAGTTCTCCTCCATTACAATTCCGAAAGGATGAATCAAGTTACTCAACCTCATGGGCTACACCCTCCACAAGCAGAGAGGATATAGAATTACCTATTTATGTAAAATGGACTTCAGCTAAGAAACCCAGATGTTTAATTTTAAAAGCCTGCCCCTTCCTGTAAGCCGTTAAACTCATTACTAAGTCAGGGTGTGCTCTGATGACAGGGAGGTCTAAAAGAGTTCACGATGATTTGAAAGATGAAATTAAGAACTAAAATTGTGCTGCAAGTCATTAAGAATCTGGTAGGTATTTTCTTTCTCTCACAAATGGGAAACAAATCCAGAATCACAGGGGAAAAGCTCTATAACAAAGTGAACACAGAAAGGAAATTCCTCTTGCTATGTGAGAATGGCATTGTTTTGGGGGGTGGGGGGGATTGATCTTTAAAGAATGTTAAAGTATAATGGCCAGAAAAAGCTGGCCACAGAGGAAACGTGCTTACGGGCCACATTTTACATTACTTTGTGGAACCATTTTACATTACTTTGTGGCCAAATACATTTGGCCATTTCACTCACGCAGTAAGTGTATCCCCTAAAACGAATGGCTAGCAAATGAAGAGACTATTGAAATAATTTAATTAAGATTTCAAAAAACCTATAAACAGGGAGATATCCATTGCCACATTTACCAGGGAGAGCCAAGAATTAGAAATTATCTAAATGACCAACCAGAGAAATGGCTGAATACATTATGATAAAGCCGATGAAATAGAGACTTGACCGTGAAAAAAGAATGCATTAGGGAAACGTTTATGCCTTAATGCTTGTATGGAAAGGCAGAATAGAAAACTGTATATACAATGTGATTCCAACCATCTAAAAACACGAATTCACATGCACAAAGACTAGAAAGGAAAAAAGAAAACTGCAAACAGCTGTGGAGTGGCAGTGGTGGGGATACGGCTGGATGTTTTTCTCCTAATTTCCTTTCATTTATTGTAAAAACAGTCTTGTGACAACTTAGAAGGAGGAAGAAAGAAAAAAAATCAACTTCCTGCTCGTTCATTATGTACAACCAAGTATCTTTTGGAGCCAAATGGTAAGTTTCTAGAGTAGCTGAATACACTCAAAAAATTGTCCATGTTCCTTCATGCAAATTCACGTATCTGAGCAGTGAATTCTTCCCGACGTGGAAAATGGCCATTCCAAACCTATTCTGGGAAGTTAAGAATGTTACGGAGCAGCTGAGCAGCCAAACACAGGTACTTACTAGTTCTTTCTCAGAGCCAATAGCAAACTTCCTTTTGCTGATGATCTTGACGGCTACTTTCTTGCATGTTTTCCTCTCAAAGGCTAGCTTCACCTCCCCACAGGCACCGCTACACGGAAAAACAGAGAAAATGACGGTCAGACTCTGTTCTTCATCAGGATACCCACCGCTCCCGCGCTGGCCTCAACGATCACGAGATACAGGCGGTCCGGTGCTTGCTTCCGCAGCACATGCGCTAAAAAAACTGGAACAACGCAGAGAACGTTAGAATGGGCCCTGCACAAGATCTCTCCCTCTCTCTCACATTCTCTCTCTCTCTCTCTCTCTCTCCATCTCTCTCTCTTTCTTGCACACGCACGCACTAAGTCGATATACAATCCTTCCATTGTCCCTATTTATCGAGAACACAGTGAAACCTCACCAACCTAGCACGTCAAGGGCACAGGTAAATGTGGACCATCCAGCCCTAACCGGTTTGGCTCAGTGGATAGAGCGTCAGCCTGTGGACTCAAGGGTCCCAGGTTCGATTCCGGTCAAGGGCATGTACTTCGGTTGCGGGCACATCCCCAGTAGGGGGTGGGTGTACAGGAGGCAGCTGATGGATGTTTCTCTCTCATCGATGCTTCTAACTCTTTATCCCTTTCCCTTCCTCTCTGTAAAAAAAATCAATAAAATATATTTTTTTAAAAAATGTGGACCATCCAACAACATCAGGTCAGCTCCAAATCCCACTTTTTTTGAGCTGAGACAGACTTGTCTTACTGTCACTTCAGATGGTGAACGTCTAATAAAGACACTAACAACAGATCGGAGAGAAATGTGTTATCTCAGAGATCAAACAGCAAACAAAAAAAGGCCCCGTCAAAAATGAGGGCCCGAACAAGCGACAGCAAACAACATCTGCAAATTACTTTCATCGATGCATTTCTTGATTTTGTCTTCAAAGTGCCTAAGTAGTGGATGCCATGAATTGCACCCTGAATAAAATCACAATACCTAAGACACCAAAAGTATTATCACCTGCTTGCAAAGGTTTGCAACTAATTGGGATACTATAATAGAGGAGAAAACGCTAACCTAGGATACCCCCCAGTACACAGTTAATTCGACACAGGCTCTGTTCTCCAAAGTTTGGGGTCAGCCCAAGGTCATGGCTCCTTAAGTACCAATCATTCATTACCGTATGAAGTAAACCATCATAACTATTATGGGCTTAGGGTGGTGTGAAGGGTTTTCCATGACATTTTTTTATTGTATATTGTATATATAAAGACTAGAAGCCAGGTGCACAGCCTGGCCTGCAGGGATCGGCCAAAACCGGCTCTCCGACATCCCCCGAGGGGTCCTGGATTGCGAGAGGGTGCAGGCCGGGCCGAGGGACCTAACGGGTGCACGATCGGGGTTAGGGAGGGACCGCAGGAGGGCTCCAGGGCTGTCCGGTCCCTCATGCCCAGTCCAGATCAGGCGGACCCCAGCAGCAAGCTAACCTACCAATCAAAACATCTGCTCCCCTGGTGGTCAGTGTGCGTCATAGCGACTGGTCGAACAGTCAGATACTTATCATATTTTATTATATAGGATCATAAAATGTACCACTGTAATCATTTTAAAGTGTTTTAATTCAGTGGCATTAAGTACATCTATAATGTACAATCATCACTCCTACCTATGGAAACCCATACGCACTAAGCATTCACTCTCCCATTCCACTGTGCCCCTAGCCCCTGGCAACCACGGATCTGCTTTTTGTCTGTGAAGTTGCCTAATTCGAATCTCTCATTAACAATAAGATCATACACTATGTAGCTTTTTGTGACTGGCTTCTTTCACCTAGCATGTTTTCAAGGTTCATCTATGCTGTATCATGTATCAGTATTTCATTCCTTTTTATAGCTAGACTAGAGGCCTGGTGCATGAATTCATGCACGGTTGGCCTGCAACTGGGGCCGATCGGGGCCATCTTGCCCAGTCCCAATTGGGGTCGGCTGCCCGGGGGTAGGGACTGCAGGAGGCTGGCCAGCCACAGAAGGTTGGCTGTAGGAGCGCACTGACTACCAGGGGACAGCTCCTGCGTTGAGCGTCTGCCCCCTGGTGGTCAGTGTGCGTCATAGCTACCATCTCGTCCAGTCATAACGGTTGCTTAGGAGTTTATATATATATATATATAGATACTATTTCATTATTTGGATATATCACATTTGTTTATCCATTCCCTTGTTGATGGACACTTGGGTTGTTTCCACCTCTTGGCTATCGTGAATAGAGCTGAAATGAACATTCATGCGTATGTTTTTGTTTGAACACCTGTTTTCCATCAAGAGGGGGGATCTACCTACAAAGGGAATTGCTGGGTCATATGGTAATTCTGTTTCATATTTTGAGAAACCACCAAATTATTTCCCCCAGCGGCTGCACCATTTTACAACCCCAACAGCAGTGTATGGGGGGAGGGAGGGGGGGTGGTCCAATTTCCCCACATCCTCACCAACACTTACTATTTTCCGTTTCTATATTACGGCCATCCTGGGGTGTGAAGTGGTATCTCATTGTGGTTTTGCTTTGCATTTCCCTAATGACTAATGATGCCAAACATCTTCTCGTGTGGTTTTTGCTCATTTGTATATCTTCTCTGGAGAAACGTCTATTTCATTCCTTTGCCCATTTATAAATCGCGTTATCTTTTTATTGTTGAGTCGTTAAAGAGTTCTCTCTTCTGGATACAAGATCCTTATGATATACGATTTGTAAATATTTTCTCTCATTCTGTGAGTTGTACTTCACTCTCCTGACAATGCCTTTTGATGCACAAAGAGTTTTTAAATTTGACGAAGTCTAATGTATCTGTTTTTTCTGTGGTTGCTTGCGCTTTGGTGGCACATTTCAATAACCGCTGCCAAATCAAAGGTCGTGGTTTCTTCTTACGGTTTTATAGTTTTACTGCTTACACCTAGGCAACCAATTGATGCGTCTCTCACACTGATGCTTCTGTTTCTCTCTCTCTCACCCTCCCTCCCTCCTACTCTCTAAACATCGATAGTAAAATATCCTTGGATGAGGATTAACAAAATCAATCAATCAATCAATCAATACATCTTGGAAAATGTGCAAGACCTTCTCCAATTCCCCTCCTGCTGCAGCTAACAGTCACTTTTTGCCCAAGAAATCTTTCCAGAGTCCAGTGGAATGTCTATAACAGTACAATATACACTGCTAGAACGATGGGGGGCGGGGGGACATGTAAAATTAAGCCAATCAGAGGTTTTCCCTAGAATCAAAGGCTGATGCTGGGAGAGAAGCAGTTCTCTCTGCTGTGGTTTCTGGAAGAAAGGAAACAGGAATGTGGAGTTCCTGGGAGCCGTTTTTCCTGCCGCGCAGAGAAAGCAATTCTCTACGAGGGCCACAAAGAGCGGCTGAAGCAGGGGAGGGAGACAGAGCCCTGGCAACACTGTGGGAGCCCTCAGATCGAGCTGTAGACAAAGCCAAGTACATAATCGGAACTCAAAGAATGGCAGAAAGTTCAAAGTCCTCCCGGTCGAGCCGTGCCTGAAGTCAGCTGGGCCCCTGTATGTCCCAATTACAAGAGCCAATAAATTTCTTTCTCTCTTTGGAGAGAGAGAGGAAGGGAGAAAGAGAGAGAGAACCGTCAATTTGCTGTTCCGCTCACTTATGCATTCATTGGTTGATTCTTGCCTTTACCCTGACCGGGGATTGAACCCACAACCTTGGTATATCAGGACAGACAATGTTCTAACCAACTGACTCGTTTAAGTTTCTGTCAGCTGCTTCATGTGAGAGGATTTGTATTGAATCCTCCCTTAGGAAGAAAATAAGAGTCCCACATATTTCTTAAGGGTGGACACAAATTTGGCTATGAGCTTCCAAGCAGCCAATGCCAATAGGAAAACATGATGGGATTTATTGAATTTAATGTCCATAAACTAATATATCTCCTACAGGTGGGTCCTATAGGACACTGTGCTCTATAATAGAACCATGTTATGTGAATTATATCTCACTAAAACTGCTTTTAAGAAGTTATTACAGGAAAAATTTATAAGGAAAAAATATTCATTTCAATCGATCATTATTAAGGAAATCAATAACAGACACACCTATTATAAACTAGTGGCCTACAATTATGTTAGAAATAGATAATGAATATTATAAAACCAGGAACAAGCCGGCCTGGAGTGGCTCAGATGGTTGAGCGTCTTCCTGTGCATTAGAAGGTTGCTGGTTCGATTCCTGGTCAGGGCACCTTCCTGGGTTGTGGGTTTGATCTCCAGTTGGAGAATGTACAGAAGGCAACCGATTGATGTTTCTCTCTCACACTGAAGTTTCTCTCTCTCCCTCTCTCTCTCTTTCTCCCTCCCTCCCTTCCTCTAAGCATGTGAAAAAATAAAAATAAAACCAGGAACAAAATACTAAGCGATAACCAATGTTTAGAAAAAAAATTAAGTACAATTTCCATAAGAAAAAAGAAAATTTACCTTCCAAGAGTTTTTGACATGATGTATTGGTCTCTTAATTCCTTGGGATAAACTGATTGGTCATCCACAGTCAGATCGAAAAATACAAAAACTAAGGAAAAGAGAGCAGAAATGGGTCTCATGAATTCATTAGATAAAGAGGAGGTAAATGGTCCTAAATTTTAATAAGCATGGACTATAAGGCAATTGTTCTAATTACATTTACTATCTCACCCCAAAGAAACCATTTAGGTAGGCTAAATATCATGAAACCCATGGAAAATGATGACAAATGTCATTCTTCAATGGTGATACACAGCTTCCTTCTCACACTGGTGCATAAAATCCATGCACAAACACTAATCTCATTCCTTGAACTCAGAATTTTTTCATCAATTGCCCTAATGTAAAATACCTATGCTGCCCTAGCTGGTTCGGCTCAGCGGATAGAGCATTGGCCTGCAGACTGAAGGGACCCGGATTGGATTCCAGTCAAGGGCACATGCCGGGGTTGCCAGCTCGATCCCCAGTAAAGGGGTGTGCAGGAGGCAGCTGATGGATGTTTCTCTCTCATCGATGTTTCTAACTATCCCTCTCCCTTCCTCTCTGTGAAAATAAATCAATAAAATATATATATTTTTTAAAAATACAGCAAGGACTGAGTAGAATTTTGAATGCGAACCTACATACTTTTTTTTTTAACCTAAGCCATTTTCCGCAAAGCACACAATGTCCATTTTCCTTTGATTTGGGAGGAGAAAAACCCACCCGACAGCCATAAGATAAAGGCTCACCTTTGTTATTCCACACGGACAGGGCAATCTCAGAATTGTTATTCAGAGGAAGGCGGCGTCCTCTGCCTACCAGTTCTCTGTTCACGAAGGTTCCGTTCCCGCTGTGGTCTTCTATGTATGCGATGTAAGAGTTTTTCGGCCCCATTTCCTGAGACAGAGGACATTTTATTTCCAAGTGGTTTTTTTTAAAGTTTCCACAGTGAGGACTAGATGACCAGCTCTCCCAAATACGTGGCTACTTGTCACCTACCCTGAAAATGCGAAAGTGCTTCTTGCTGTAAGTCCGGTATTTATCCGTTCTTTTCAGCAGTGGTTCGTCGAAGCAGTATTCGCAGCTTCGATCCCTCCCAAACCAGTAGCTGTCGTTCACGCACTCTGTAACACAGACGCACCAGGGGGCTGTGGGGTTTCATCTCTCAAACACCTTCAAAAATGGCTCACAAAATCCACGAGTAGGAAAACAGACGAATAAGGCAATCAAAATGATAGATGCTGATCAAGATATTATGAGATTAAAATAAGGGGGTGTGGGGGGGAGGAGAAGAAACATAAATTTCCAACAATGAACTTAATAAATGATGCCCTAACCGGTTTGGCTCAGTGGATAGAGCGTCGGCCTGCGGACTGAAGGGTCCCGGGTTCGATTCCAGTCAAGGGCATGTACCTTGGTTGCGGGCACATCCCCAGTGGGGGGTGTGCAGGAGGCAGCTGATCGATGTCTCTCTCTCATCGATGTTTCTAACTCTCTATCCCTCTCCCTTCCTCCCTGTAAATAAATCAATAAAATATATTTTTTAAAATTACATATGCAACCACTTCACGCCCATAAAGATGGCTGCCGTCTATTCTTTTTAGGGAAATAAGTATTGGCGAAGGTGCAAAGCAACTGGAACTCTCACATATTCCTGGTGGGAACGCAAAACGGCACAGCCGCCGTGGACAAGTTTGTGGTTCTTCAAAAAGTTCAACACAGTCCGGCCGGAGGCTCAGTGGTTGAGCATCCGCCCAAGAACCAAAGAGGTCACCAGTTCGATTCCCAGAACTGGTGGACAGAGAGTGCGAGGGGCAGCCTCCCCTGGAAGGCCCGCTCCGACCTTTGCTCAATTAGAAGACCCCTCAGGCAGATGTGTGCAGACGGGCAGAAAGAACAAGGTAGAAGGCAGGGGACCAGGAGCTCTGGGAGACAACGAGAGGCAAGAACCCAAAGAAGGAAGGGCCCCTCCTCCTGGGAAAGAAAAAGGGGGTGCGGATGAGAGGTGTACGGGGAGAGAGGAAGAGATACGTGGTTTTTGACATGTGAGTTGAAAGTTCAAGTAAGTCCTTTCCTTTGCCAGGATTCTAGACCTCTTCGAAGTTCAACCTCACTGTCCTCTCAGAGCAGTGGTTCTCAACCTTCCTAATGCCGCGACCCTTTAATACAGATCCTCATGACGTGTTTTGTTGCTACTTCATAACTGTAATGTTGCTACTGTCATGTAAATATCGGATATGCAGGATGTATTTAGGCGGCCCCTGTAAAAGGGCCGTTCGACCGCCAAAGAGGTCGCGACCCACAGGTTGAGAACCACTGTCTCAGAGGCTCCTCTATCACTGGAAAAATTAAGGGCATCTGGGAAAAGTTAACCCATCTCTCCGTTTGGTCCCATTCAATCCCAACGTTTGGTTGCTCTCTCTCACCTCTGCTTTGAAATGATTTCCCCATTTCACAGATGGAGACTGTGAGGCTCAGAAAAGTACATCATTTGCCTGAGGTCACAGAGCTAGAGACAGAGCTGGGACTTGAACTCGTGCCTGATTGCAGCACCCTCACCCTTTCCCCGTCCCCCCAGCTATATTTTCTCTCTTATTTCCTTCCTACACTAGCATTCGAAAAAATACGTTTTTAGGAAGGAGAGAGGAAAACATACATCAGCTGCCTCCTCCATACCCCCTGCTAGGGATCGAGTCCACAACCGGGGCATGTGCCCTGACAGGGAATCCAACTTTGACCTCTGGGTGCATGGGAATACGCTCAACCGACTAAGCTGACTAAGCCACAGTGGCCAGGACACCACTCAAGCTTTTTTTTTTTATTGATTTCAGAGAGGAAGGGAGAGGGGGGAGAGAGATAGAAACATCAATGATGAGAGAGAATCACTGATGGGCCGCCTCCTGCATGACGCCCACTGGGGACCGAACCCACAACCCGGGCATGTGCCCCTGACTGGAATCGAACCCGGGACCTTTCAGTCCACAGGCCGATGCTCTATCCACTGAGCCAAACCAGCTAGGGCCCCACTCAACCATTTTAAATATCTCTTTCTCTCTCTCTCTTGCTACCTTTTCTCTCACACTCATTTCCTGCTGCAGCAAGCCTTCCTGGGGCTCCACAGGCCCCTTTGGCTGCCAACTAATTTCATTACCTTTCTCACTCCACTCACTTCTTCCGTAATGACTCATGAATAACATAGGTCAAAAGTGTAAAAGTTGTAGGTTCGCCAAAACCGGTTTGGCTCAGTGGATAGAGCGTCGGCCTGCGGACTGAAAGGTCCCAGGTTCGATTCCGGTCAGGGCATGTACCTGGGTTGCGGGCACGTCCCCAGTAGGGGGTGTATAGGAGGCAGCTGATCGATGTTTCTCTCTCATCGATGTTTCTGACTCTCTGTCTCTCTCCCTTCCTCTCTGTAAAAAATCAATAAAATATATTTAAAATAAATAAAGAAATAAAAGTTGTAGGTTCAAACCATTCTTCTACCAACTCCTGGCTGTATGACTGTGAACAAGTTCATCGATTTCTTTCTAAGCCTCAGTTTGTTCTTCTGTAAAATGGAGATAAGGATTAAGACTCTCACAGGATTATTTTGAATTTAGAAAAAGATAGTCCTAAAACCCGACCCAGCACCAGGTGAGTAGAAGCTGTTTTCGTGCAGGGAAGTTGACAGGTGACGGCATAAGTTCAGGTCTCAGCACAGGTTCTTATAGTCCTGGATCAACTGTACAGGCCCCACCACCGGCAGTGTCTTGGGCTTTCTGCTGCCACAAATACCTGTAATTGCTTTTTCTGAACACAACGGTAATGTTAATATTACACTACAGAACAAAGGGTCTTACCAAGATTGGAGAATCCATCCTGAAGGGCCCATAATCGCGCCCAAGGGGCAGGGACCGGCTCCTCCGGTTCTTGGTCCTCAGGAATAGAATACAGTTCCTGAGTGGACACTGTGTCTAAGGAGCTCAGCGTCCCCGAGCTGGAGTGAGAGGACTGGCTGGACGTTGGTACTGTGCTGGTGGAGGAGCTGGATGTGCTCTGGGACTGCGAGGAGGGGCCGGGTGTCTGGGAGGAGGGGCCGGGTGTCTGGGAGGAGGGGCCTGGTGTCTGGGAGGAGGGGCCTGGTGTCTGTGAGAAGGTGCCTTGGGACTGCTGACTCTCCCCTTCTGTCTCCTGAGACATTACTGCCTCAAAATTAAGCGTTCAACAATAAAGTGGGTTTCCAGGAACAAGGCTGAAAGTTCAGGGGTGAAGGATGAGGCCCTGGCAGGGTGGCTCCGTTGGTCAGAGCATCATCCCGATGCCAAGACTGCAGGTTCGATCCTAGGTCAGGGCACACAAAAGAAGCAACCAATGAACGGATACATAAGCGGAAAAACAAATCCAAGTTTCTATCCCTCTCGTTCTCTCTCTTCCCCCTCTAAGGTCAATCAATCAAGAAATACTTTAAAAAAAAAAAAAGTGAAGGATGAGCCCTAGCCAGCTCGGCTCAGTGGATAGAGCATCGGCCTGCGGACTGAAGGGTCCCAGGTTCGATTCCGGTCAAGGGCATGTACCTTGGTTGCCGGCACAGCCCCAGTAGGGGGTGTGCAGGAGGCAGCTGATCGATGTTTCTGTCTATATCCCATTCCCTTCCTCTCTAAAAAAATCAATAAAGTATAGTTAAAAAATAATAATAATAAAATAAAAAGTGAAGGATGAGCATATTAAAATGACAAAAAATCCAGGGCAAGCATGCTCTGCAAAAATTAAATTTCTAACAGTCTAGACCAGGGGTGGGCAAACTTTTTGA